CAGGGCATTTATTTTGTTGATCCTCAGCTCTGAGGGTGAATGTCCACTAGAGTCGAGAGCGTACTCTCAAAACTTCCCTCAATTCGGCCATCATAGTCTTCTCTTCGTACATAAATTAATTATTTATGAAGAATTAATAGCGTTATCCTCTAACAGCCTTGTGGTATAGTAGTAGTAGTAGTGGTAGTGGTAAATCAACATCCTAATTTACCAGAAAAGCACGAGGTCGATCGATTCCCACACTTTCGCTAGACATGGCAAACAAAGTACAGACTGACCAAATGACGTTATCGAAGATCTGATAAAGTCCGACTGAATGCTCTCTGTCTAATTCTACGCCACTATGCAGCTCAGTCTATTTCACGAGGTTTCCCGAACAGTAGAGCTCTACAGAGTTCCTACCGTTTATCGCCTTCACCTCACCAGATTGTTTTCTCGCAATCATAGTATGTCCTCTGGACCTAACGTTCCGATCGGCTACAACCAGCTACAAGAAATAGCCCCTTTGCCAGCCAACTGATAGGGGTCCCATATCATCATCGGTACACCCACACACTGCTATACCCAGCTCGTACGCTTATTCTGAGGATTTCAAAGACTCATAAAACTCATGAACCACAATCAAAATCCGAGAGTAGAAGAATCATTTTCCACTGCTGAACTTCGAGTCCCACATATAAGTGTACTCTGTCACAAACACGTCATCTTATGTTCCATCCGACAATGTTCATCTTCACTCCTCGTCCGTGGAAATTTAAAAAAGTGAACGTAGTCAGCGTTAAGTGCCACTTGTCCGAAATACACTCTAACATGGGAATTTGCCATAAGAAATTCCCAGAGATCATGCAGCTTTCCGAAAATGGGTACCCTACGATGGTTGAGGCTACCCAAACCTCTTGTAGTGAAGCCTTTCTAGGGGAACCTAGTATTAGGTTTCCTATTGCAGAGTCTCACCTCCGAGATCTATCTGGCCAAATGCGAAAAGTAGATCTATAAAATACAATAACAGAACGAAAACCATAAAAAAAAGAATGGCTGAGGAATATTCACCACAAATGAAGGGAGATCACAGGTCAAATGAGTGTGGCTGCAAATGTAACAACAAAACATCTGATAGAAGGTTATATTTCGATGTACTTGGTGCCATCGAGAACGATTTTTTGTAGGTAGACCCTCCCGTGATAAAAGTCTGCGTAAGGCGGAGTTGAAATTCTAATCAAGCTCGGAAAAACACGTGGATGCTACGATATTTTCAAAAGGCATTCAGACTTGGTACGGATTACCAGAGAAAACCAAGGTTCTATGAAGGCAAGTAGTTGGTCTCACTGTCAATAGCTTCCATTCAACTTACTGCTTTACATTTCTAGCCTCTCAGCCTTGTCAGTGATGATCGCCAAAGACACTATTACTACTGAACGCGCTGGTCTTCTCACTTTGAGAAAAATATTGCAATTTTTGAATCGACTTTCGGGGTCCCTCAACGTGGTAAAAGAAAAGCCAATGGAAAGGATGAGTGCAAAAGAAGTACGGCTCGACTTTGAAGTGTTGGTGATAGAACTTTAGCAATTACAAGTTGGTAATGATGGCGTTGAAGAAAAACGTCAGACTCGCTTTGAGTGTTAGTCCGTCATCGATGAAGGCACGGCTTTTTGCCATCAATACAGTATTATCAGGGATCATCACTCGTTACAGAGATTAGCGCGAGATCGGCTGCGGTGTGAAAAAAAGCGACCGCGGCAACGACGAAGCGAGATCGTAAATATCTGAATACAAAGGGGACGTTGACATGACGGAGGCGATGAGTTGACCGATCGAACCATCCGTCAAAAGTGGCTGGCCCTATGGCACAGCACATGGTGACAGGGCCAAAAAGTAGCTCGGGAACGACCGCACAAATCGCGACGGTGGGANCAGCAGCACTAGTAGAGCACAATCACAACAACCCCATTCAATTCAACGGACAACACAATCACTTCCCGGACGGCTGGCTGGCCCCGCTACCTACACGGGAACAAATCGCTCGCGTGCCACTTCTCACAATGGCTACCGCCGAATTCAGTTGAGTCCCTAGACCACCCCAGTTTTCCCAGAGTATAACGAACAATAATGATCTTTCGGAACTGATTGAAATTTTAAAAACAGGCAGGGCCTGATGAGGAAGTGTTGGGAAGGATTGACCATTGTCGCCACGGTTTTCATTCTCGATGGGCATTCACACCGTAACCGTCACCCACATCAATCAAACTCCTCAACACTTCGATTCAAAACAATGAACGACGACGAACTCGCAGCTGCGCTTCGATGCTCCTGACTGATTCAAAAGTTGTCAATCTTGAACACAATGCAACTTCATTGGACAGATATCTAAATGAGAAAACTCGTCCTTTGCACAACCATAGAAGTCTAATAAATAAAAGGGTACAATATAAAGGGGTACAATAAATATCACAACACGATCACAGTGTAGAAATGTAGCGGAAGTGGCATCACTTGAGCAAAGGTCCGGACACCACTTGATCCTTGAAACGATCCAGCCCCTAAAAGTACAGTCGGTGTGTTTGCACGACCTTTCCCTAGCGCTAAAGAGGCCTTTGGGCGGCAAAATGAGTCAAGTCAATACGGAAACACTTCATTAGTCGGGCGACATCTATACAATTGGGTGTGGAATTTCGGGAACGAGTGACTCCCTTACCATCTGGCAACTTGGTAAACCCTAGTACTTACCTGAACCCTGGAAAAATTGCTTCTAAAGCTTTACATATTCCCCAAATTTGTTGAAAAGTGTCAGCGAATGAAAAGCAGGGCAGCCGACACCTCTGCTATATGCGTAGGCGAGTAAATATATTTCCGGGTAGGGAGCTAGAAACTAAGTTTGCCAGTGCGGGAGAAAATACTGAAAGTCGATAGCCCTTCGCAAACCATTGTACAGGCCAAATACCTATTCTGGTGCTGTGGTATCTCTGGATAAATCCCAATGAGCAGTTCATAACCTAGGTAAGCGACAGGGAAATCCTCTTTTCTGCTCAGGAGCAGAGACTTACATTCCAAGAAAATCTGGGAAGTTACGATTTTGGGATCAACTCGTTTCCTTCCTCGACCTAGCCCTTACAAGTGCTGAAATTCAAACCGTTGGCTACAAAAACTTGTCAACTTTTTCACAAAAGCTGACAATTTCGGGTAAAAGTCCAGGTGCGAAGTCCAAAGTATTCAAAAGGATACCAATAAGCCACCGATACAAACCTCGCCGCAGTAACTGGTAGACGCGTCAATAAAAACAGGATTGTCGCCCTTCACAATAGCACCAGCTGCCTCCAGCCATTTTCTGAACAAATCGGATTGCAGAATTGGATTTCATGGCAAAGAAGAAGGAGGAACGGACCTGTTCACGAGAGCCAGGTCTCTCTTACAAGTACTCAGGCATTCCTTGCCTGCAGATTCCGCGTTTTTCAGCGGGCTGAACTCATCTTCGCGTTCTACTTCCCAAATGTAAAAGTTCCTAAACATCGGTGTATACAAGCCAGCCAGCTCATCTGATCGTATTGCTTCTTACTGGCTCTTTTCAAAGACGTCGAACACAAACTGTTCCAGCTTGATTCCATTGGGACTAGTTGGCTTCACTACGGTTCCATCGGAGGTTATGTGAGCTATCTTCTTCGATGCTCGATGATACGGTAGGTGGAAAGAGTACTCGCAGAAGCTGCAACCAAATGTGCTTCGATCACCTAACAGATGCTTGAAGGCAAACTGACCTTTCGAGGAAGTCCAGTGAAAAAACGTGATTGGCAATGGAGCCCGCACAAAAAAGCAGACGTCCATCTTTCGTTTTCTTCTCGGCCAGTTCGGGACCCAGTTCACTGTACTCAGTCACTCGAGGACGTCCATTGTCCAGACATACGGATCCCACTAGTTCGCCGGGAATTTTGCGAATTGTCTGAATAAGAAAATAAGAAAAGATTCTTGAAGAGCTCCCAATGTTTGAGATTCAGCGGATTTTGTTGATTTCTCTTCTTCGAGCTCGCTCTCGATATTCATTTTGGTTAGAGAGGCGAAAAGCAATAAATTAATGGCTGTTGACAATCACTTGCCATTCCACTGCACACAGCCCGCGGCAAAATCGGAGGGCCACTTGAAAGGCTGCAAGGGAGAATTGGCCGTTACAGAGGGAAGAAAGCAAAGCAGAGCAGCGCCATGACCATGTGCTTGCCAATCTGCAGAATATACGATGACCATGGGACTGCAACCCAGCAACCCAGGGCATATTGCAAGAGCACAAGTTGTAATACAAGTAACCCTCTTCACAGGGTCCATGTCGAGTTCAAGGAGTTCGAAATATGAGCCGATCGGTTGGGGCAGATGTTACAGTACATGGTAGTGCAGGCCATGTAGGCTTGCGCAATCTGGGGACATAAGAAGCGGTAAGGCGACCCGATCATGGTGGTTCCTAGTGGCAACGTATGTGTACAGCTATCAGTTCGCCGATAATCCCTCTAATAGTCATTCAAAACGCAAACCGCCCTTGTTGCGTGCAATGTCGAATCCTTTTGCAGTGGTGCTCAATCATAAGCCAGCACACATGCTCACAAAGTAAACAAACAAACACAAGTGTGAAGAAGTAAATACCTGGTATTTTGGTTATGAATAGCGAGAACAAATAAAACAGCCGAAACTGTTACAAGGATTTAACTTTAAGACATGAACGTTGTTCATTGTAAAACCTCCATAAAATCTGAAGCCTCTCCCTTGAAGAACGTTTTCATAGACGTTCCTTACACCCCTAGTTATCGTAGACATTGTTAATCCTGACTTCTTATACTTCTACCCCGTTTAGACGTCCCAGAATTGGGATAAATTGGCATTCTTGGCATCCTTGTTCCCCAATATAGTTCTTAATATTCAATACGACTGAGTACAAGCATCTTGAAACGACTCCAGCCGTAAGTGAAGAGAAAAACTCGGGCCCTGACTTTTCTGAGGACATCAAGGTGACTCCAACACTAAGTAGTTGAATTTAACCCTCAACTAAAGAACGAAGCTGTCCACAATTGGACAGACCCATCTGATTCGAAAATGACAAACCATCGCTCTCTCTGACAAGCGCGTACAGATCGCTTTGATGAACAGATGATTGGTGCCGTGGTCGATGTCCTCGGCTATTCCCTTTCAGCTGACCCGCATACGGTCAATCAGGTGCGATAGCAAGCGCAAAGCCAGCCGCTATTGTTGCGTATGCTGTTTGTGAGCGATCCGCTCAAACAACCCGAAAGTGAAATATCCGTTGTACAACTAAACTCTTTGGGGGGGGGGGGGGGGGGGGCACCCAAAGAGGGAAAAAACAA